CACCGCCAGATGGAGTGGAGTCTGTTCCTCTGCGTCCCGGACTTCCACCATCGTCTTCAAGATCCATCCTTCGTCGTTCTGAGTCGAGGCGGCCGTTAAAAGGAGGTCCACGATTTCCTGTGAATTATCAAGAATATTTGATGAAGTCGGGGGGTCACAAATATGCTGTGAATTATCGAGAAATTTGTGTAAGTTGGGTCACGATTTCCTGTGAATTATCGAGAATATTTGTATAAGTCTGGATCAAAATTTCCTGTGAATTATCAAAGAATATTTGTATAAGTCAGGTCACAATATTGCTGTGACAACTTCAAGAATATTTGGATTAAATTGAGGTCACATATGCTGTGAACTATCAACAAAATATGTGATAAATTGAGGGTCACAATATGCTTTGAACTATCAAGAAATATTTGATAAATTGAGGTCACAATATGCTTTGAACTATCAAGAATATTTGGATAAATTGAGGCACAATATGCTGTGAATTGTCAAGAATATTTGGAATAAGTCTGGGTCAAAATTTCCTGTGAATTATCAAGGATATATGATATTTGAAGAATATCTGAATTATCGAGAATATTTGATGGAGTCGGTCCACAATATGCTGCTGAACTATTCATGATATTTGTATAAGTCGTCAACAATAGGTTATGAATTATCGAGAATATTTGTGTTAAGTCGGGTCACCAATTCCTGTGAATTATCGAGGAATATTGATGAAGTCGGGGTCACAATATGCTGTGAATTATCAAGAATATATTTGGATAAGTTGGTCACAATATGCGTGAATTATCAAAGAATTCTTTAAATGAAGTCGGAGGTCACAATTTCTTGTGAATTATCAAGAATATTTGAAATCGGGTCACAATTTCTTGTGAATTATCAAGAATTTTGAATAGTCTTTAGACTATCAAGAATATCAAGTCGAGGTCACAATTCCTGTGAATTTATAAAGAATATTGTATGTCAGAGTCCACGATTTCCTGTGAATTATCAAGAATATTTGATGAAGTCGGGGTCACAATTATGCTGTGAATTATCAGAGAATATTTGTATAAGTCGGGTCACAATATGCTGTGAACTATCAGAATATTTGATAAGTTGTGTCAACATTGCTTGAATATCAAGAATATTTGGATAAATTGAGGTCTGAACTATCAAGAATATTTGATAAATTGAGGTCACAATATGCTGAATTATCAAGAATATTTGATTATAAGTCGGCTCACAATTATGCTCTGTGAACTATCAATTTGAATAACGGGTCAATCAAGAATATTTGAATAAGTCGGGGTCACAATTTTCATTGTGTCAAGAATATTTTGATGAAAGATATGAATTATGAATATTTGGATAAGTCGGGGTCAATTTGCTGTGAATTATAAAATATTTGAATAAGTCGGGGGTCACAATTTTCTTGTGAATTATCAAGAATATTTGATGAAGTCGGGGTCACATATGCTGTGAATATCAAGAATATTTGGATAAGTCGGGGTCATCGCCCTTTGAAACCGTGGACGGGGGGGGGGTGAGATCCTGCTTCGGTGCTTGAAAAGTTCGTTATAACGGGTATCCCGTTCTCGAAAAAGGGAGGCTGGTATATATGGCAGAAGAGGGGGGGGGGGAGAGGGACGGAATAAATATAAGTATATTTAAAAAGCTTAGTTTTCATATAAAATAAGACCACATTCACGGAAGATTAAAACAATCGAATTCAAAGAAAACAAAAAGCGAATCGTGGACGTACTAAATGGCATAGTTTTCATATAAAAATAAGACCACATTCACCGAAGAACAAAAATTTCAAAAAAGAAAAAAAATCGAATTCAAAGAAACAAAAAGCGAATCGTGGACGTACCAAGTGCAGTTTTCATATAAAATAAAAACCACATTCACCGAAGAACAAAATTTAAAAATAATAAAAAATGATTCAAAAAAAAGAAGAAAAAAAAACGAATCGTGAACGTGTCAAGTGGCATAGTTTTCATGTAAAATAAAACCACATTCACCGAAGAAGAAAAAAAAAAAAAAAGGAAAAAAAAAAAAAAAAAAAAAAAAAAAAAAAAAAAAAAAAAAACGAATCGCGGACGTACCAAGTGGCCCTCCATGGCAGCCCGGTGAAGCGGCGTCTGCAGCGTCTCGTCCTTGGCCAACAGAACGGCTCCTGCATCCACCAGACGGCGGGCGATGTCCACGTACCCGTAAGAACAGGCGACAAACAGAGGAGTCATCATCTGCTTGTCTTTAGCCTGGAATTCGGGAGGAGGGAATCAAAGTGTGGTTAATTTGTCGAAAATCTGTGAGACGGATGTGTCATTCAATAAATACATTGTGAAAAACAGCCGGTTTGTTAGAATTGTGCCAGGCCCGACGCAATGAATTTTCATAGAGAAATAAAGGCATATCTGTCTATATATATGATAGATATACATTTAACTATCTATTTGACAGGTTGATATGCATGTTTAGACTGATAAAAATGTATTTATTTCATTTTTTCATGCATCTCAAGTATACGAATATTCTTTGGGTCGGGCCTCGCGCAATTCCAACAAACCGGCAGTAAGGATACATGTTAAAGCTTCATCATTGTGGAAAAAAGTATTATAAATCAAGTGTCCATGTCTATACTACTCAAGTTTGTTCAAAATATGTATCTTTTAACTAAGTCTCATTAATTGTAAGCACCTCCCTCATGTTCATTAGCTATCAAGCCTTCCTTCTCAACAAACAAAACTTCCACAATTTCATCAGTCAATACTTCCCTCATTCGCGCCATATGCAAACACTTCACACCCTACCACTCCCCTCTTTCCTTCTCTGTCTGTCTGTCTGTCTGTCTGTCTCTCTACCTCTACCTCTACCTCTACTTTTCTTCTACCCTTCTACCCTCTACCTCTACCTTTACCTCTACCTCTACCTCTACCTCTACCTCTACCTTCTACCTCTACTTCTACTTCTACTTCTACTTCTTACTTCTCTCTCTCTCTCTCTCTCTCTCTCTCTCTCTCTCTCTCTCTCTCTCTCTCTCTCTCTCTCTCCTCTCTCTCCCTCTCCTCTCCCTCTCCCTCCTCTCCCTCTCCCTCTCCCTCTCCCTCTCCCTCTCCCTCTCTCCCTCTCCCTCTCCTCTCCCTCTCCCTCTCCCTCTCCTCTCCCTCTCCCTCTCCCTCTCCCTCTTCCCACTCCCTCTCCCACTCCCACTCCCACTCCCACTCCCACTCCCACTCCCACCCACTCCCACTCCCTCTCTCAAAAGTACACACACCTATCCACGCCAAATAATCGACTGTACTCCCCATTCCCATCGCATCGGGTCCTCCTACCTCGATGTCAACCTGCGGGCAGGTCAGGAGGTCCCTGGCAGACGGGTCGTTCCCTCTCATGGCGGCGAAGTGGAGGGGCGTCTGGTCGTAGATGTCCCTGGAGTTGACTTCGGCTCCGCATTCCACCAGGATTCGAACGACGGAGTCATCGGAAAGGGCGCCGACGCCGTAGCCGTTCTGGGAGGTCAGCGTCAGGTTGGCTTTGTCTGTCCGTAAAGGGGGAAAGGGGGTGTCGGTTGGAATTCATATATTTTTTTTTTTTTTTTTTGGGGGGGATAAGTGCGATATGGGAAGATAAATGGGAAATAGAGAGACATGTATACATACATACATACATAAACAGACATATATACCCATACATACATAAATACCAGGGCAGAGAGATAGATAAATATACAAATTGGAGGATATATATAGATGGACAAATATAGATAGATAGATAGACAGACAGACAGAACAGACAGACACACACACACACACACACACACACACACCACACACACACACCACACACACACACACACACCACACACACACACAACACACACACACCAACACACACACACGCAACAGCACATTCCATCAAATACATCAAAAGCAAACTGAAATACCGCTAGAAATTTCACGGTGCTAATAACGACAAAAAAAAACAAAACAGGACCATTACCCAAATTTAATTTTCAAAACCACTTCTCAAAGTCGCCCGCAAATTGTGCTTGCTTTACACAACAACTCAGTCCATTGGGGGTGTTTACCAGCGCCAGGGCAATATCTTTAACGAAATTACAAACACTAATTGCGATAAGGGTGGGGGGCTAGGGATTAGGGGAGAACGGTTTGAATTTCCTTCGTGGAGAGTAAACGAGCAAATGGCTATTTTATTGTGATTTTTTATCCTTCGCGGCAATTTGATTTTAGATTTTGTTTATGTGCAGTATTTTTATTCTTCATTCTTATTTTTTTTGATGGCGTTTTTTTCTTCATTTATTATAAAAAATACCTAAAACAAGTGTTTAGATTTTAAGCTTATGGAGATTTAACAATTTTGCTTTAAATAAATACTGAATAAACAAAATTATATTAATATTAATCAATCTATGAATAATAAAAAAAACACTATTCATATTATCAAAATAATAAATAT